TCGGATTCCAGTGGAGAGCGAACATTCCTCTACCGCTAGGTAGAGCCACTTGGATGACTCTTGAAGTTAACTTTTCTATTTGTAATTTGATGAATAAATGAATTGTAATAAATGGTTATAGATGATGAATAAAGTGATGTTTATTTATTTGGCCTGTGTGAAAATATATGAAAAAAAAAAAAAAAATTCAGGATGTGACAGCCCGTCTCCTCGAGGTTGTACTCTATGCATCAAGCTGGTTACTAGCTTTAACGTCGCCTGGGCACTCGCTTTAACCCAAGCACCAGACACCTCAGGCAAGCGCCCGGTTGAAACAAAGTAATCGAATTAGAATATTAAGTCTGGTTCAGTTGAACAGTAAATTACTTGGTTCGATTAAACTAAGCTACATAATGTTACTAAACTTACGCACGCAAACCCCCATCCATGCATGGGAGTTGCAGTCTGTCTATCCATCGAACAAGAAGAACTGTTCGGAGAACACAAAGGTGTTGAAACAAGTGTTCGAAAGGGGCGAGAAAGCGACGATGAGTCTAGAGGGACTCAGTTACCCAAAACCAAGAGTCGATTAGAATGGATGTGGACTCGGAGGAGTGCCACAACGCCGCATAGGCAGATCTACCGATCACAAAGAAAGGGATATAGATGCGAGATAACAGATAGTAATGTCATGGGCATGGCAACGCCATGGTACCACAAAGGCAGGACTTCTGTGGAGTCATCGATCACTTGCTCTCAGGGTGAGAGAGCATTGGTCGTGGAAGGGGCCAAGGAGGTGGAGAATGCAGAGGCAAACTCCAAGTACCGAGATAAGGCAGAAGGGCAGAGGCCAATGAATTTCGTAAGACCGGTGTCAATGAGCTTCTTATAAAGATAGCAGAAAGTAGAGGACTTCGAGTCGATGCGAGAGACCAAAGAACGAAGCAGACAGTACGCAATGTTGTGCCTTTGTTACTCACAGGAGTAGGTGACAGAAATGATGAAGAAGGCGGTACAATCCCAAAGGCGACCAAAACTATTAGAGACTTACTCTTTTTGGGCAAAACTTCTTGCATTCTAGAAGTTCGAAGGCAATGAGAAGGCGAATCACAATAGCTAATTCAACGCAATGAATGCAAACACTTCGAGTGCTTCGGAAGTGTGAGCAAAGAGTAGATGAATGCTAGTAACCAGCTCGATGCATGAAGTACAACCTTTGAGGAGGTATTCGAAGTCGAGTAACATTTGTCGTCTCAACCTTTAAGAAATTGGGCGAAATCGAATACCACAATTCTCTTATTTATCCAGTACAAGAGCTTTGCACATGTTCAAAGACCCTTCGAAAGAACCTAATGGAAGACAATAGTTGACAAATCCTCACCAATGGTGATCGATATTACTAAGAGTAGACTGTCCGCTTCATTTTTCAATAGAATGTCAATCTAAAATGGAAGTGATGCAAACATATTTGAAAGCGACAACTAAACGTAAGAAAAATCGATGGACAAATTATATGGAGGAAGGGCCCCAAAAACTTCAAAGTTTGTCAGGCAATACTCGTTAAAGCTCTAATAGGCATCCACTCAGTTCAAGCGACATGAGGCGTTTGAAAAACTGGCGCATAAGATGGAAAGTCTTTTCCCTCGTCTGAAGGATCCGTAGGAACCAACAAAGATCAGCATAACTCAGTTAACCCCACACCAGAGTCAAAGTAATTGGGAAGTTGAAGCAACATGACGAATAAAAGTTCAAATACTCAACAATAGTGCCGAAGAGCAGTTGGGAGCCAAAAGGCGCGTTGCAACTAGAGCAAAAAATTGAAGACTTAGCAAATATGCAGTGTCTGCAAACGCTTTGACAAGGACATCGAAGGAATAAGTTGGGGAGATTGTCACAGACAAAACTATAAATGAGGTATTGGATATAATACTCATGTATGTCCATGTCTTTTGATTTTTTTTATACTTTGCACAACATGTAGAGGGCTAGCAGTAGGCTTAGCAGCCTCATTTTGGTTAGTCTATAGTGGACTATCTTGGACTATTTGTTGTGTGACCGTTCAAAGCTTACAAAGTCTATATTTGTAATTTACATTGACTATCATGTGTTTATTGAAATAATTACTTGTGAATGCCGAGTGGAATGTTTTCTCTATCCATCGTCTCTTTTGTAGGTCCTTAAGGGACCATATGAGATTTCGGAGAGGTTGACCCTTGGCAGACGAACACGTAAAGGTACGTCTAAACAAAATAGAGACGGACAAGGATAACCCTAAATAAATAGGAAGAAAAACTGAATCAAACAATAAGACCCCGTTGAATAGACTTAAGGAACAGTGAATTGGACCAAACCGTCCAAAAAATTAGACGACCCAAGTGTCAGTTCAAGCTTGGACTAACAAATACCCACTGCTACATACCGATCCCATCAAAATTCTAGTCCTTTAAATGTAATATGAAGAATCGCCAAAGCCCCAGGCCATTGATCGGACCAATGCATCACTAGTCGGGCCACAAATGTAACGTAAATCCGTTTAGAACCATGGGAAATTGTTAATCATTAAAATAACAGAAAAAATACTAATAGAGAATATTCATCTTCCCATCATATAAAAGAATAGCCTGATTGATCATCCAACATAATAATAAACGAACCCTGAAAGAAAAGTTAAGAACAAAGAGATGAACAGCGATAGACAACACATGTATCTAAAGGAAATCAAGGAATCAAGAGCGACGACCGGAGAAAGGAGGCAATGCAAATAAAGATGTAAAATTGGAGGAAGATGAAGAGGGAAGGCGGAGATGGGAACTGACTTCGAGGGAGGAGGTCGGCCGAGAAAGTCCGTGGCCGGGAGAGAGCGTGTGCCAGTCGCAGTTTTTGAAGCCGCGACAATAGTGGAGCAGCCCAGATGCGGAACCGATGACGACGAGCTCTACCGGAGCGGTGGCGGCGGAGGGGAATCCTGAAGCACTTCGGACACGGGAGGATGAGGGTTGTGTGGGTCGGGTCTGGTTTCTTTTTGCTTCCATTTGTTTGTTGTCGAGCGTGACCGCCCGATGCAACCACGCGATCTCCATGTTGTGTGGCCAGGATTTCAGTTACCGGATGCGTAGCATCACTTACAACCTGTATAAAGCTTTAGTACCCTTTTCCCCAAAACACGTTTTTAATGTCAACATCATGCCATACTCACGTTGCTTCTGCACTCGTATGGGAAGTAGTAAAAGGGTCTGCTACCAACCTGCCGAATAACTGTAACAAAAAAGCGACAGCCATTTGGTGAAATCAAATTTTTGGAAATTAGTTTTGTAATTAAATTTTACCTTTGTACTTCGATGCCGATCTTAACTGTCACAATAGCTTGAGTACAGATATAATCAGATGCTCACAATGTACCAATACCATACTGCAAACACGTAACTCGTCACACCAGTCTTTAGATATATCAAAAAGTGCTAGCGCAAGTGAACAGGATTGCGATTCACGATTGATCACAAGGAGAATTCATCACTTCTATTTTGTAGGTTAAAATGCAAATCAACACTAAATGTAACAATAGTATGTTAAAAGCAAACACATTCTGCAGTGATACTGAATGCCAACACTGATCAAACTGTGTCACAGGGCATACATAGGCCACTGTGATTCATAATTTAAGCTGAATCTTCATAAACATGCTTCGGTTACCTTCCGCACAAGCCATGATTCTGAATACATAGCAGCTAATTCATTTTATGGTGGCACGATCATCCACTATCGATCTCCACAAGCATATCTCCAGCCTGTATAATTCAGATAGAAGATCAGTTTATGAATTAGCTGCTATGTATTAGCTGCCACCACTGAATTCTCACTGTCGTTTATGTCGGTGAGAAACTATTCCTTTCTTTAACTGCTTCAAGACATTAATTTTGTCTGGTTTTGTATTTCATGTATGATGATGTAGGGAAATGCTTATTCAGTGATAAGGAAAATAAGAAACATATGAATTTTGGTTTTCTACTGCATATAATATGTGAGGATACTCATTTTCAGTTTTTTAATATATAAAATAAATCATTGATTTAAAATACTGATTGAGCCCGTATGTATCAACCGGTGTTTACCAGTTTGACGAAATGTCCATACTGAATCATATCGCTCGAGACAATAACATTGATTTCTAACTTTCTAGTATATCATTCAATGATGTCGATATAATCCCTGCGTTCCGATACTATACCAGTCTTCTATGATAAATAAATCATTTATCTAAACAAATTGGAATACAGTGAAAATATACAACCATTGATGTTCTACAATGATGAGTAATTCTATGAGCAAAATTGTTCACAAGAATTGCCGAAGCAGATTAAACAGAAACAATTTAACTAAATGAAGAAAGCTTGTTATATCCTTAATGCTATATATTGTCTAATTGGTGCAGGATTTGTTTGCTCTCAGACGCTGCCAATACTGTATGAGAAATATGAAGATCAAATTGATAACTTTCTATATAATCTCCTCGGGCAGTTCCAGAATCACTATAGCAAGCTGGATGTGAGTGTGCTGAGTAAACTATCCAAGGGAAATCCCAGATCAAAGAAGAATGACTAGAGTCCATCCTTCTTTGGTTCATCTTGTCTTTTATTGTGTGATCGACATGCTGTATCGCTGTCAAATAAAGATGAAAACCTCCGCCACTATTGTGAACACAACAGCAGCAATTCTGTGCATAGTCCTTTTGCCACCGAATGCAGGTTTCTGATATCCCAACTGGTTGTCAAGCAATTATGCAAACAGAGCATGATGTTCTTTAGGTCAATTCCGATGCATTCTAAATGTCTCGTTGAGCATTCTTAGTTGATGCTTAATCTCAATGATCAAAGTTTGGAGGTTTTTGGTTTCTAAGTTAATACTCTTTTTTATCATAAAAACCAGCACTGCTCTCTGCTTGCCTGTGATCTGACAAAAGCCTTAACAAACACAATGCTGCACTGCATTGATTCTCCCAAAACTTCTCAGCATGCTGAAACATTTTAGTGGCACAGCCAGGCAAATGAATATAACCAATTTCACAGGTAATCTGCATAGTGAAAGTTAGCATGGAATGTTTCCTCTGTTCATGCATTCTCCAGAGCCCAGAAGTTCAAGATTTGAACACATGCGGATGACAGTAGCAAATTTTCTACACACAAGCAAATAGCCAGAAACATGGAAGGAGATCTTCTATGTTACGGTCATTATTGCTTTCTGCTCCATTTTCACAGCTGCATTCAAGTGAAAGAGTTCTTGATGTAGCAATTCTGAAAGATCTGCTTGCTAGACTTGGCAGGCCACCTGCTCCAACCCTCCATTCAAACTCGAAACTGGTTGTTTGATTGTTGTTGCAGCATTAGATAAATGACTGGATCGA